TTATAGAAATGTAAAATTCCATAAAAAAGATCATCCCCCCCCATCCAAGCTATCATTTCACAAACACCTACACCTGTATATTACCTTTCAAAAACCCCTAACAAATTAATCACACCATACCTCTCAAGTAAATATTGTATTAACTCCACAAACAAATTTGTACAAATTCTTCATGATGTAAAACCAAACAACTAAATAATCGCATGTTTGAATGTACAAAATTTATTTACTAATGTCCCCATCCACAAAATGATTGACATCATTACTCATGATGTATACAATCACTCTTCTCTCACACCCATTAATATTAAACCCACTATTTTTTAAAAAAATTATTATTAGCATGTACCACTTAAGTGCCTTTTCATGACTCCTTACGCAATATTTATACTAAAGTAGACGATCGCAATGGGATCCCCTTTTTTTTAATTATTATATGGCACATTTAGAAAATAAAATACTTAATGGCACTAATAAACCCCTATATATATATATATATATATATATATATATATATAAGATACATAGATGACATTTTCATTTTAGCTAAAAATTTTGATCAAATTGCACAACTTAAAATCAAATTTGAAAGTCACTCCATCAAATTTACACTAGAACTCAACATTAATAAAATTCTATTCCTTGATGTACTTGATTCCAACATACATAAATTTACTACTTCTCTATATAGAAAACCCGCTAGCATTAACTTGTCTTCTTAATTATAATAGTGAATGCCCCAACAAGTTTTTTTTAAACAGTTTAAAGTTTTTTTTATAACAGCTCACTTTGTTAGATGTTATAAAAAACTTAATACAATGCACACAAATATCTTCTTCCAAAACCATATTCTACAAAGAATTCCATAACATCAAACAAACACTCATAAATAATGGATTCCCTAATTCCATCATTGATCAACAAATTAAAAGATGAAGAAACACTCAAAAACATAAGCAGAAATGTTAAACCCATTAATAATAAACAAGTTAAGCTCATCATATATTATAAAAAAATTAAAACAATTGACCTCAGTCTCCAATAACCCTACAACCACACAACTAAATCCTCTACAAAAACCAATGTAGTGTATCAATTTACATGCATGTTTAAGAAATGGTATCTCTGATACTAATAAACCCACTGCATACATTGGTTTTACTACAACCACACTCTTCCGTAGACTTATTTATCACCTTTCTGATCTTAGTTCCATGAAACATTTCTTAGAAAAACATAGCCATATACATAATATTAGACAGATATTAGTTGGTAACACAACAATACTAACACATACACACAGTAAAAGGAACCTTAAGATAATGGAGGCCATCTACATTTACAACAAAGCAACCCACACTCAACAAAATTACATTTCAAACCAGTGACAACATGTTACAATGCATCTAAACATATGGTTCTGTTGATAACATTTCTTTCTCTCACATGGTCATGTAAACCATCATAGAACTGCATTACAAATTTACAACCCGCATCTGCTATTCTACAACTATCGTCACATAGCAAATTTATATGTAAACAAAACAGAGATGAACATCTCTGTTGCAATGTCCATATAACCACTAGGATGATGGCTCATGTGAGCCCCAAAATTATATCAATGACCAATATAATAAAGAAATATCCAAATGTTGGACAGTTTTTGTCTTTCTCTTGAAACTAAAGCCATTATATGATGCTTGGAAAGGCTCATGTATGTGTACAGACTCCCTCATGATCTTCATTTTGCAAAGCCAAGCCATGATGATATTTTATTGATATAGTTTACTAAAAGTAATACTTAGTTGTTAAAAAAAATCAGATAGCACAACTTGCAAGTATATGAAAACAAATTGGTACCCAATGAAAAAATTGGAAAAAAAATATCTGATATGGTAAAACCACAAAACTTTAAATTGCAATACAAATGTAGGTATATGTATATTTATTAATATATACTTCTTAGCTCTGTTTAACCACATTGAGCACTGTTTTGTTTACACCTTATATTAAGTAAATATTTATTCGCTTACCTGTGTATGCACACTAACGCATGTATATACAGTTGCTAACATCTAATTATTTGGTTTTTATATATTTAAAAATTATAACATAAGTATGTTATAACATCACTACAAAAATAGCCATTTTGTTTCAACACTACTGGTGTCTTGTCAAATGATGATGTTGATTGCAAAATAAAGTTTTAAAGTGTTAAAAAACCACCCACTGCCCCGCAATTAGGGGAGCATTATTACGGAAGTTATGATGGCCAATCAAAGCATACATATATAATTCAAATAACTTGACAACGGACCCTAGATACAATTTATTAATGCTTTAATATCAATATTAGATTAGATTGGAAATCGGTATAACTAATTAATTATTAATTTACTATGCATTTGAAGAATAAAACTTACGAATATTAAATTTTAAATATTACCATGCATTAAAAATTCATAATTCTATGAAAAAGACCCAGTAAACTATGAACAAACCTGAATCTTGCATTCAATCAGATATTAGCAATTTGCATCCTGCAACTCATTGTTTATTAGAGCAAGACATGAAGGCTAAGGCATCCCAAATGACAACTATTGTACACACATTTTCTTGTACAACAACCGATTCTATTTAGATAGAGTGTGAGATTTTATTCAAAAAATGTTTTTTGTGAAATAGTCCTGACTCTTGACCAGATAAAAAACAAATAGCATTATTAACAAAATCACTACTATGTAATTTTCTTGTACTATTACCTACATTATAGTAATAAAAAATTGCATTTCTTCAGTACAAATAAAAGATACTATACTGGTGAAGTGATTAGTATTAGTTACAAAAGTTAATTTTAGTTCATTAACTTTCATTTTTTCTTTGTTTACCAGTAAACACACTCTTCTCCTATCAAACTTATCTTGACCTTTGACTGTGAGAGAGACAGAACCTTCCTTTCTGGGGAGGAAATATTGACTACACTGCTAAGACCCCTGTGTAGTAACTGCTAACAATAAATAATAAAGAGAAATTACATGCATTGTTGTTGTTATCACAAAGTCGTGGCTGTTGTGTTCTTCGGCCTTCTTCAAGTGTGTGTTGACTCAGGTAACCTTCAGGGAATTTCAAACTGAATCTTTCATTTAATATACGGATATCCATTTCTTCTGCTGGATTGAACTCACCACGACGATTATGTCACCAATTCCACGAAACACCGCTTTAATGTTATCTTTTAGCATAGGAGTCGTGAGTTAAATCTTTGGGCCAGGTAGTAGAGACTCAGTAATAAAAACAAGACTGAGCAGTAGTGTATATAAAAGAGAGAGAAAGAGAGAACAAAACGAGATGGACAACGGAATGAAAACAATCTACTCCACGTAGTTCAGTTTAGAATTTCCTGAAGATTACCTTAGCCATCTGAAAAAGGCCGAAACATAGTGATGATAACAACAAAGATGAGGACATTTAGTTCGAGTGTTCTAATAACTCATCCCAGAAATTAAGAAGAAAAATAATAAAATGGTTTAACTGATTGAACCCCTTAACAACAAATCACTTTGTTCGTCACTTTTTTTAAAACCTGAATCACACTTTATTACGGCTATTTTTTTGCATTGATCGATATTTGATCGTGACATCGTTGAACAATGTTTTATTTGTTTTTTTTGTTTTTTTTAAATAAATGTAAAAGAGCAAAGAAAAAATACTTCACCACCCCATCATTAAATTATTATTGATAATTCGATTTTTAATGTTTTTATGCATTGACTGCAAGAAATAATTAGATTTTTATACACAGTTACACACACGTGGTTGTGATAACTGACTTCAAGAAAAAGTGGTAATATGCGCGTGTGGGTTGTACAAAAGAAATGAAAAACCTTGCGTATGCGATATTTGAACAAAAACTTAGAAATACTTCAAATTTTATTACAAATCAAAGCAAACAATGTAATTTTACAAGTATGTTAAAGTAAACTTTAATTTCATGTCTTATAAACATACTATTTTTAAATGTTAAAAAAAATGTTACAAAATTTGTTTATATGAAAGTTTTTTTTTATTTGCATTAAGCAAGTACGATGGGGGCACGGAAAAGTTCTCGGCACGACCAAGCAAGATTAGTCAGATTTTTGATAAAGGGTCAGGCAGGCTAAAAACAACTTTTCAGCAATCTAATAATAATGGAAATGCACAACATTGTGCAAGTCATTTAATTTTTTTTCTTCCTACCTACACATGGTGGTTGTTGTCAGCATGGCAAAATACACGTTGTCACTCTAAAAGACAGATTTTAATAAATTTTAGATACATATGCTTGTTCTGTAAAAAGATGAACACATTGAAATGACTTTTTAGTTTAATTATGTTTACGCTAATTGAATTTTCCCGAATGTGTTAAAAAAAAATTACTTCCTTGTGTGGATTTAATAAAACAGTAATTATTAAATACAAAAAAAAGTATAGTCTCGTACATAATCCATATGATCCTAAAAAAATATAGTCTCATACATAAATAAATCCATATGATCCTAAAACATACTGCAAGTAACATTCCAGATAAAAATTCTATACGTCTTTAATTTTCGGTTTTTCATTCACCGAGGTTATTTTAAAAGTTATTTTCAAAGAACAGAAAGAAAAAGTATGCATCTATAAAGTTTTAAATAACTTTCCCTTTTGTATTTAAAGACAAAAAAAGATTACGACAGCAGAAAGTATATACAACAAAAATATTAAAAATTAAATTTATCTCGCTTCATGATTTTTTTTTTAATTATTTACCTCTTTTTTAAAACTCATTTTGTAAAATCATATTAAGAAAAAAAAGTAACTGAAGGAAAGATTTACATAAAATAAATCCATACATTTACAAAATATGAGAAACAGAATCCCTCGTGTTTTTCTTCAAGCAATTTTTTGAAAATCGTTTATGCGGTGGACACTAAAAAACCAAACAAAAAGAAAGACTGAGGGTCCGTTTGAAAAATACTCACATCGGACTTATTTGTAGCGTCCTGTAGAATTCCAAAATCTTTGTACAACTGTTCAACAGTGACCATTTTCTCTTTGATCGAATCCCAGCAGATTTTTTTTCAAATACTGATGTTTATTTATTATTGTTTTAACTCACAAAAAAAACGTCCAGAGACAAAATCGGCATAAAACTGACGTTCTTTGCATGGATGGGCTAACCGAGATACCGGAACTACAGATCCGCACTAACAACAGCTAACCATTGTGAATGGCGGTCAATAATCACAACTTAACGTTGTGGATTTAAGCCGGATAATATCAAGTTTCAGATAGAATAAAAAATAAAAATAATCTAGATGGTTTTTATGTATCAGTTTGATATAATTATTAAAATGTGTCTTTTTTAAATCAGATAGTGCATTTATTGAGTGCGTATCTACATTCATTGAATAACACGTTACTTCCGTTCTTTCGCAGCACGTGGTCAGAACTATAAATTCAAAAAAAGAAAACATAAATGTTTGTTACACTTCCCATGCCAAATCGCTCCTAGTAAATAATTATAACTTCTATTTTTTAATATTGGACTCCCAAAATTTTGTCTGCTCTACACAAGAACGTGCCGATTACCAGTCTTTCTTTCTATAACCACTGCTTGGACGATACTAATAATGAAAAATTGAATGTTTTCATTTCTATGTTATTTGGTGCTAAAATAAAGTAATTCAGTTAAATTAAGTAAAATATTTGAGGAAGTTTACGTCAATAGCCCTTCGCTCGACGTTCTAGGCTTCATGAACTGTTTTTTAAAAAATTGTTATCAACAAAAGAAAATATTGTACATTTATTTCTGTCTTTAACTTGGCAATTTCTTACCCATGTTGTCTGTAAAGAAAGGGTTTTTTGTTTAAATAACGATATTTTTTTTCAATATAATTTAAATTTACTTTCTGGAAAAGATTAAATTTGAATCGGCTCGACTGCCGCTGGGAACATTTATTTCACAGTCTGACATGTCCAGGAGTATTCAGCCAGTGTTGTGTATAGTCACAATTACTAGCTTACTACCACCCCTTTTTCACTTATTGTTTATGTAGCAAGGCCGCAAAATAGTTACAGTGACTCGCCTTTAAAAAAAAAATAGATTTTTTTCTATAAAGAAAAAAATAACACAAATTACTGCTAATTGAAACAGAGAAAAGTTGTCACTTCAACAGAATCAGACCTCGCCAAGAAATATAAAAGATTAAAGAAGTTTCTAAATAAATAGGAGGTAGGTTCAGTTTGTTCAAAACTTACTCAAACAAAAAAACAAACTTAAAAATTGTATTGTAAGCATTGATTAGAAACCCTTCGCCCCCCGCAAAAAAAAGTTACGTAAAAAATATAAATGTTATTGTTAATTAATCTCTTTCTTTTTAATTTTAGCTTGAAATTTTGTAAGGTCTCATTTTGTAAAATATGCTTTAGCAGTTTAATTTAAAACTTTACCACATATGTCATAGTCGGAACAATTTTTTATTTTCTATTTTTTTTTTTTTTGTAGACCTCCCCGCCGACATCCAAGCAAAAAATTACAATGAATAAATTAAAATACGTAGCAAATATTCCCGCTCTTATAATTTGGAAAATTAACTTTGTTTTTAATTTTTTATATATTTATGATCTGTACATTACATTATTCGGACTATTGTCCTCATCTTTGTCACCATATTTATTACAACGTTTTGGCCATTGTACGCTCCGGCGTTCTTCAGGTGGTTGGAATGTCGAACTGAACCCTTTATTTCGCTCACTGGGGTAGACTGTTCTAGTTCCACGTGCCATGTTTAATTGATGTCAGTTATCTCCTGTTAATTATCCTCTGAAAGTTCTCCACTGCCTTAATCGGGTATTGAACTCACACTCTTTGGGTCCTGTCACTGGATCTAACCAACAATACCCGGTTCAGGCAGTAAAACGTTGTAATAAATATGGCGACAAAGATGAGGACAATAGTCCAAATAATGAATGTAAATAATATACATACCTGATCTCAGAAATATAGACAAATTTGTGATCTGGTGTGTTAAATGTTGATAATATGTATCAAAAAAAGAAATTTAAAAAAAAAATTATTTCTTGGAGAAGTGCATTTCTGTAGAAATGACGAAAAAATAGTTTTTAATCTCCAATCGACTTTTCATTTACTTTAGTAATAATGTACTTCTATGTGTCATGTCCCTTCATGACGTGGACAATCATGGTTCTCTACAAGTTCCTTTCCTTTGTTTGATGCTCTTTTAGTAATGTTTGAGTTTTTACTCTCTTAATTTCTGTTCTGCCAATCATACACAAACTCATTAAGTAGTTTATGTGCTGCTGTCCTCTGTCTCTTGTCTTCAATATATCCTAAGAGTGTAAGAAATGAACCCTATTTCAAACACAATTACATATCCACATAAAAATGCCATATTAAAACACACCCAAGCTTTATATTTTATGCAATAACAGACAATATTACAAACATGTCAAAAAGATTCCACAATACAACACACCATTTAAATCAAAGTGTTTATTGGTTAGAAATTAATATCACCTTGTGCAAACCTACTTAAGCAAGAACATATACTTACAAACACAAAATCACAAGGTACAATGCCAAACAATCATTGGCTAATAAATCACTAATACATTTTCTACAGGCAATTTACAAATCGCAGTAATGCGACAATTCTGGAATCACTTTATTTTTTAAGTATTCAAATTTGTGCACTTTTGATAGAAGTGGCTCACAGAAGCTTCCTTAAGTCTCCCCAAAGCTCGCTCACTGATGCCAACCAATCAGATCGTTTGCACATGAAGAATAAATTTTCACACGCAACGAATCGGAGACTATAGTTGCTTATTTAAGCCAAGATTTTTCTCATATCAATTAGTGAGACCTCAACTGCTAAACGAATCTATGATAGTTGGAACTCCAGTTCTAACCACGTGCCAACCTTCTCACTCACACGCACACACACATGCTGATGATAATTTGTACACCTTCACTAAAAACTTCTTTTGACACAATACTTTTCGACAGTAATATCACAAGAACAATCATATCATGAAACACTCATGAACATTTATCCAGTGAACTTTAAACCAAATAATAATCTCTCACTGAACTCTTAAATTGCAAAAAAGAGAGGCAACTCTTGATTAATTCAACCTTTCTTACTTAAATGCATATTTTCTTTCACATCGTTGTTTGATATTGTACATCTTGTTAATATACATATATTTTATGTGCAACAATGTCTTGTGGTTATTCTTCTTGCATGAGTCCTGTTTTCTTATCAAAGTTAAATTAATGTTGTGAAGTACGCCACAACCTTTTTAATATTTGACCAGTCAGAGAAAACTAAAATCATATTTTTTTTGAGCCTACTTTCCTAAAAATTTTCTTATAAAAACCCACAGATTTTGACTTTCAAGGAACAGAGATGTGGTTGTCTCTAGGCTATTAGGACACAAGAGAAGACATGACTAATTAACTTTTTTCTTTTCCCCACAGTCTGTGCTGAAAGAAACATGTCGGTGACTTCAAACGTAATAGCTACAACAACAACAGTTTAGACATTCAGTGAATTTAAACAAATCATTTCCAACAAAGATGGTCGGTGAATCTTCACTAGTGATAAGTCTTTTCAACCACTGCTTTTCTTACTGTAAAAACAACTACCCAAAGACTTTAACTTAACTAAAGACTATTTTTAATACTATTTAACTCTTTTGAATTCATACACATTATTTATAAATTCAAACAATTTATTTAACAAGTATACCCATGTTTTCTTTATTTTTATTGGAATTTGGATATTCAGATTTTTAATATAAAAAAACCTGGACAACTTATTTTCCTACAAATGGTGACCTCGATGAAGAAAACCAATCTCCTGATGCCTTTACACACACAGCCTTTAACATTGCTGCACACACCCTTAACACAAATGCAAACAACTCAATATTAGAATATTTCTGAAATCATGCCAACATTGTAACAATAATGGCCACAGAATTAAAAATTGATCCTATAAAAGCCACGTTGACTTTAAATCTGTCTGCATACAACAGTACAAGTGTACATACTTCTCCCAACAACAGGCAATTTTCAATGCCAAGCAGACCACATCACAACATACTAAATACACAGGTTGTGTAGAAGCTTCCCCATTGTTAAGTTGTTGAGTGCCTCAGGTATGTATTTGCTACCCATCACAAGTATTGAAGTGATGAAGTATTGAAGCTAATGTAAAATTGTGCATTAATAAGTTGACCTATTTCACCTGCAGTTGAAATGAGTTCTGCCCATTGAGTTCTATATAAACATATGGTCTTTTCACTGGAGGAAGATTGAGCTGGGCCTTATGAACAAGGAGTTTTGCTCTGTCTCGCCTTGGGCACCCGGGTTGAAATGTCTCAATAACGAAAAGGCATCCCTCACCTGGCTGGTGTTGTGAGGGGCTCTCTGGATTGGCAAAAAGCTCTGTGCAGCGGGCTTGGCGATTTCAGCCGAATATGTGCGGTGTGGTGACTGGGAGGAGTCAATTGATCATGCCTTCTTTCACTGCAACGTGCGACCATTGTGCAGGCTGATTGAAGGCTACATGGTTTGCGTCTTGGACGGAAAGTTTTTTGCCCTGGAAGCCAGTTCCGTTTGTGCCAATGTGGTTCTGTCAATGTCAAAGGATCAGCACTATGTGCTCTTGGGTCTGCTCGGCATTATGCGAATGGTAGTGTGGACGACTAGACAGAAGGAGTTTCACGCAGGTGAGAAGTTCTCCTCCTTGCAACTGGTCTCTTTCTTTAGGCAGCAGCTTAAGGTTAAGATCATGGCGGAGAGGGTGCGTCTCTCCACGTCGAAATTCGGCAAAAGGTGGGTGAAAGTTTTGTGCTTGGTGCGAGTGAGAGGTGATGACCTCGAGTGGTTGTTGGATGCAAGAGGATTTTGGGACTCAAACCGAAACGTCAGTCAACCCAGCCTTTTTAAGGTAAGATAGAACTTTTTCATTTTCAGTTTTGGCCTTCTCAGGGCTAATTATTTTCCTTTCAACATAGC